GCCCCACCATTGGTGTTTGTGGGAGAAACAGTGCCCCATCATTGATGTATGTGGGAGAAACAGTGCCCCATCCTTGGTATCAGTGGGAGGAATGGTGACCCATCATTGGTGTTAGTGGGAGAAACAGTGCCCCATCATTGGTGTCAGTGAGAGGAATAATGCCCCATCATTGGTGTCTGTGGGAGAAACAGTGCCCCATCATTGGTATCAGTGGGAGGAATGGTGACCCATCATTGGTATCAGTGGGAGGAATAGCGCCCCATCATTGGTATCAGTGGGCGGAATAGCGCCCCATGATTGGTGTCAGTGGGAGGAATAGTGCCCCATCATTGGTGTCAGTGGGAGGAATAGTGCCCCATCATTGGTGTCAGTGGGAGGAATGGTGCCCCATCATTGGTGTCAGTGGATGGGAAAAGTGCCTCAAGGACCAGATAAAGGCAAGCAAAGGGCCACATCTGGCCCCCAGGCCACAGTTTGGAGACCACTGCAATAGATGAATCATTTTAAAATCCAACAGCTGCACCTCTCTGCCACTAGGCTGCACACTCTTTCTTCTGTAACGGCTCTATAAGTGCAGGGCATTTAAAGGTCATGAGCTAAAATGGGTAACAGTATTCGTGTGATCATCCGTTCCAATCATCAGGTACCTGCACCACGTGAAGCCACAGAACTAGATTACTTTACAATATAACACATATTCCCTTCTGTGTTAGCATTTTTCTCACTCCCACATAAGTTATACAGCTGTGCTAAATAACAAAGAGTAAGTGGCAGGCTTTCAGATCGTGAAGTTTTATTATTTTCTGAAACATGGACAAAGCTCTAATAATTGACCGCTTTTTAAAGCACCATTTAACCTTTTGATCTCTGGGGAATTTTTAAAAAATAACATTTACATTACAATGAGATGAATGGGCCCAGCAGTGCCTTTGACGGCTTTGCAATTAGATGTGAATGATTTGATCTGTTTGAATTCATATTTGGCCAGTCATTCACAGATAAAAATGTGATTCCTGGGATCATGTCATGTTATTCCTGCAAACCTCCTTGGTGTTCTTTTGTGCTCCCTCTCCATCGTGCCTTATGAATGGGGATCCAACCAGTTGTATGACAGCAGTCTCATATTCATTTATCACAATGTAGCGCTACCCCCTAAGGAGCTGCTTGGTAATTTGTGCTCTCTGTTCTGCACCTCAACTCCAAAAACACCCTCACCTGGTTGAACGAAAGTCACCACAAGCACTTATAAGAACACAAGTATATGTAGCTTTAATTTTGCTGTGAATTAGCACCAACAAATAGACACAAGACCGTTAATGGTCAATTTGCTCAATGTATTGGTATAATGGTGGCTTGAGCATAAATGAGCACACAGAAGGTAGGTTCAGACACAGTCCACTGGACAGTATAATCACTATGTCAAGGTAACTTAGAATAGTTAGAAAACTGTTACTTTTTTAAGGTGAGTGAGTGCACTGGGCACCCTGGCTGCCATTGTGCTACATGCTGGGTGTTCTTTGCACTCCTGTACCTTTAAGAGGGGTGGGCTCCCTGATGTGCACCTGCCCTTGGTCTATCCTTTAAATGCATGTGCCTCTACTATGGGGACTCTCAAATTTATAAAGTTAGGACCACAGAATGTTAGGGTGCCGTGATGTGGCTCTGTGCCTTACGTATGTATTTGCAAATGTGTGCTAACTAAACCCCTGTTTTTAACGCATACTGTTAGACAGGTCTATTTAGTTGTTGGCAAGCTGGCTGGCGAGTTGATTCTTGAACCTTTTTTTATTTTTCCTTTATTACTAACTTAGAATGGAGTTCTGTACCACTAGACTGGGATTGTCACGTACCTGATGGGAGACTGAATTGACGAGGTCGGCCTCACTTGTGTCACTAGCCCTGACCCCACTGAGGTTGAAACAGAGGGAGTCTAGGACCCAGGGGAACAAGAGTGCCAGTAGTTGTTGTTTGCAGTTCTTGCAGATGAATACCTTGGAAGGCTGAAGATCCTCTGATTTTGGCACAGGAGTAGCAGGCAGAGCAGGTTTTGTAGATTGCCAGGCGTGCACCAGAGCAAGGCAGGTAGTGAGGACAAGAGACAGGAGCGATGTCATGGAAAAGCCAGGGTCATCAACAGTCGGGCAGCACGGTGCAGAATCAGAAGGAGAAGCCAAAGTCAGGAGCAGAGCCGAAGTCAGGAACCAGTATCAGGAGAGTAATCAGAATCAGGTGAGGAACAAGCTGGGTCAGCAACAAAGGAATCACACAGGAACAAGCAGGACACAGGGGGGAGCTGAAGACCAGTCAGCACTGAACCTGAGCAGAGGCCCTCCTTAAATAGCCCATCTGGCGCCAATCTTAACGGTGCATGTGCACGATCGCGCATTCCTGCGCACAACCGGCAATTCTTCTGCGGGATCTCTTTCACGCATGCGCGTTCCCGATCGTGATTCTTCTTGCCGGAAATCCCTTACAGGGATTAACTCCTGAATCAGCAAAGTCATCAATAAATAAGCATTAACTGCCATGTAAATAATATTACTATTATTAGACTAGACTAACTAGTCTAAAGTGCACTCTAGGAGAATGGTTAGCATATGGTACAATGTCCCCTGAGAGGTACCTCTTAGCATAGGCAATATGTGAAGGTGTCTATGTAGCAGCTGTAAAGGGACAATATTTAGTCTTTACTGCTCAGCTGGCTAGTGTTGGGGCCCAGTTGTACTGTTGGAGCATGTGTGATTAGCCTCAGCCAAGCTTACAGGCAGCAATAAGGCTACTAGATTGCTGTATGGTCAGTTCATAAAGGGCTCACCCTCTAGTAGCAAACAGGTTATGGCAGCAAAACTTTCTCACCAGATCCAGCAACTCAGGGATAGTGGTACTTCTGGTCCGATGTCCCATCACTGCTGGGTTACCCTTGGTGACTCCAGCCCTCAGAACAGCATGGACTGATAACTGGCAGTGGCATTGATATTTTTTTACCCAAGAGATCATAAACTGGGACTGTTTAAAACTGTAAATTCCTGGCAGTGTTTTTCTTTTGACATATGTACAAACTACCAATAATAAGCTGTTTTTCTGCAGTGTGAAATCACCTTAGGTGCTGCTCCCTCTGACTACTAGTTTCACCATATTTGGAGTAAGATTTAGCCCCCGGTCACATTGGGTGTGGTTCGGCATGCGATTTTCATGCCGTGGCGACTTGCAAATTGTATGTCAAGTTGCACCCTATTGTCTGCTATTAGAGCAGTCATATCGGTGCAGTTCTGACTTGGTCGGAGCCGCACCGATTTCTAAAGTAGTGCATGCACTACTTTTGTTGCGATTTGCATAGACATCTGTGTCAGATGTCTTGCAAATCACAATGAAATCGGCAGGTCACATGATTTTGAAATTGTGCGACTTCACTGTAAGTTGCATGATTTCAAAATCGACTTTGATGTGACCGGGGTGTTAGTCTTTTGCTGCTCAATGTTCTCCTTGCTGGAAAGGAAGCTGTGCCGAGGATCTGCAATGCAAAGATCTCCCTGTTTCTGCTTCATCTGTTCTGTGCTTTCTTTTTCTGCTCTTGAATATTCCCCCAAAAGTCATCAAGAAGCAAAGCTCTACCAAGATGGCTACCTGCACATAGATATACAATGGGGAAGTTATTAAAAAGAAAAAAGACCACCTGCAGAGAAACTACAGGAAAAATTGCTTATTGATCCTTCCCCCTTTGCTTGTCTTTTTTTGGGATGTCTTCCACAGATCAGGTCCTCTTTAAAGAGTATGTATGGTATATTGTCTCATTAATAGACAGTTTGGCAGCTTAAAATCCCACGGGTTTTCCCATAATCATTCTCTACAAAGATTGTTTCCTCTCTTTAATGTAGTTTAAATAATATGAAGTTATTTTGGTTTAACAGACAAGCAATTCAGAAAAATCTTCATAGTAAGAGTAATGGGAACAATTATCTCAGCTATAATTGGCTTTAGATGTAGACTGTATTTCGGAACTTGCTCCGATGCCGTTTTAAGGGAAGAGCAAGACCTTGAGATGATACTTGATGATTCTTTTAGTCACTGGGACTGGAAAAGATTGTAAATCTTCCCAACAGCAGAAGCAGCAGAAAACAGCAGAAACAGCGGTGTTAACAGCAGAAGATCAGAGGTTCTAAATTTTCCCCACTCTTTCCAAAACCAAAGTAAAAAACTGGTTATAGTTACACTTTTTTATATATTGCAATACAAGTACACATAGTAAAATATCAGTACTCATATATAACATGAAAATTAAATTACTGATAGTGTCCCTTTAAAGCTGACGTTTAGGTATGGCACGTTTTGCATAGTTACTTTGGTCCATCGTGGACCACTATATGTATGTTTGTGCCATACTTGTTCCCTTTGGAAACTGGAAATCACTGTAGAAGGCACTGCTTCTACAATGATCATGTTTTTTTTTCTGGGTCCATGCCAAGTGGCTGCCCTGCTGCTTAGTAAGCACTGGAAGCTACTCGATCAACAAGGGGCACCATTCAGAGGATACTGTACATTTTCTCAATGAATGCAAAATGTTCTTTGATTGGACAAGGTGGAGATCATGATATCACCGTTCCATAAAATAATATTGCATAAATTATTACCAGCTACATTGCAAATATTAAAGCTGACCTCCATTATCAACTGTTTACTCTTCCTAAAACTCCCTCTCCTTATATATAGTAACAAAGGTGAGATATTAAACTACTTAACTCCTGTGGGCGTAAAATCAAAATGTAATTCTCTGCCGTTGTGTTCAATTTGAGGAGGGTCCTGGCCATGGATAGACCAGGGTGAAAGAAAAGGTGGACCCACCCACTTCAGTAGTGCTGAAAAAAAAAAGCCAGAGGGACTAATAGACCTACATGGAATGCTGTGACATCACCATGCTCATAGTCCATTGACCACTTCCTCCAGTGCCATATCTGTAGGCCCATAATATGGCCTAGTTCATACCAATATGTTGCATTGGTGTGCAATGGGTTTGCATCTGAAAAAAGTGCAGCATGCTTCAACGCATTACAGCATAACACGTTAAAAAAACACAATTAACCTCAACACAAGTGTGTTGCATGTCTTGTGAATCCAGCTTTACAACAAGGGTTGTGTCCAGGGGCGGACTGACCATTTGGAAACTCGGGCTCTGCCCAAGGCCCGGGTCAGTAGGGGGCCCCATGAGATGCCCCTGGTACATTTTTCATAGGCTTTTTTGAGTTTGGGCAAGGACACAGGGCCCAGGGGCGGACTGACAACTCATGGGGCCCCCGGGCAATAGGGGATCATGGGGCCCCTGTGTCCTTGCCCAAACTCAAAAAAGCCTATGAAAAAATGTACCGGGGCATCTCATGGGGCCCCCTACTGACTCCGGGCCCCTCGGGCAGTGCCCGATTTTCCAAATGGTCAGTCCGTCCCCTGCGAGGGCCCCATGATCTCCTATTGCCCGGGGGCCCCATGAGTTGTCAGTCCGCCCCTGGTTGTGTCTCATTCTTTGGGGATCAATAGGCCAGAGGGACTAATAGATCGAAATGCACTACAAGTGGTGACGTCACCACCACCTTTGTAGTCTATTAATTACTTCCTCCAGTGCCATAACTGTAGGCCCATAATAGGCATAGTTCAAACCAAAATGTTGTGTTGGTGTGCATTGGGAACAAATAGAATGCTCTGCATTTGGAAAAAGTGCAGTGTGCTTCAACGCATTACAACATAACACATTAAAAAAACATAAATTCACGTCAACTCAGATAAGTTGCAAGTCATGTGAATCCAGCCTTACAACGGAAGACAAGAATTGAATCCCACTCTTTGGGGACCATATATAGAACATTTGTGTTTATTGGTGTTGCAATTTTTTTCTCCTTTGTATACTATATTAAAAGTAAAACTGTGTCAGGAAACAATTGCTGGCAGATGCAGCAGTTCACCAACACAAATAACATTTCCACATTGAGTGTCAGTGTCCAAATTGCTGTCCTTCCTAATGTAAAACCTCGAAATGAGCTGTCATTCAAAAATGATTTGACAGTCATTAGACCAAACAAGATTCTGACAGCTTCCATTGAAGACCCCTGGTGGAAACAGCACATTTAATTCACACATGTACTGAAGACAAAGTTTGGGACGCCTTTTCTTTCTGACATACGCCGATCATTTCTGCAATAATTTCTTTATATAAAAAAATTGTTTTTCTTGTTCAAAATATTCAAGCTATTCTTGATTTCATTGAAAATATTATATTAGTCATCCATGCATCATTCCTTTGTACATAGGGACATTATCTGCTGTGCATCCCTCTCTGCTGCATTTTAATGTACTCTGGAGGGAAGGAGCAGTGTCCAGCCCCACTGCCTGGGCATAGGGCCCTAAGCGCAAGTACTACTGGGTACCTAGGTAGGATCTAGAGGGGTGTTGGGGTGGGGCTATGCCTTCACAGATTTTAGTGTGCCCTCCAAAGTCAAAGCTATCTGTGTGGGAAGGAGGTGCTCTGCTGCCTGTGCGCAGGCTGTGTGAAGTGCAGGCATGGGAGAAGGAGCCCTGCTGAGTGCCCCTGCCAAAAGTGACCATGTGTTAGGAATGGACTTGCCAAGTAATGGTGCCAGAACTCACCTGCCTTGTGGGCTGCAGTACCAGGGTATGCCAGCGGGTGCTCCCAGCAATCAGAGACTCAACCCTGCAGCCAGCCAAACAACCTGAAACTGCTTATGCAGGTGTATTTAAGAAGTTATGGCCAGACCTGCAGTCTTTGCCTTGGTGTGTGTTTTTCCTGGGCAGTAGTCTTGTTCCTGCATCCCTGTTCCTGTTCCTAGTCTCTGTCCTCGTCTGATTTATTGCTGACCCTGCCTGATCCGGACCTCTGCTGACTTCTCCTGTTTTATCCCTGGCTTGTGAGACCCGAACATTCTCTGCTGCCTGACCCCCCTGTACAGGCTACCTGCCCGATTGTTTATTGATCCGGCCTGCCTGACGACGCTTGCATTGTATGTATTATCTTGTGGGTGGTTTGTTTTCGTTTGCACACCTGTTATGTTATTAGTATTCCTCATTTTCTGCGTTTATGTTATCGCCCTGGATGTATTGATAATAAATTTGCTATTCTCGTTTATGTACTGAAGCGTATTGTTTAGTCTTTTATAAATTATATTGTTTATAACTTATCTGAAGCCTGCGTTTCCCTGCGAGGTCACTATTACCTCTGGTCATACCCCGGGAGCATATCTGGACACCATGGTCCTCTGCTCTGCCAAAAGTGACATTACCCTGTCCAGGCCTGGACTGGGACAAAAAATAGGCCCCGAAGCATTTTAGACTGAAACAGCCCAATTTCCGGGGGTGGTGGAGAGGGGTGCAGGGCATTCGCAGAGGACAGTTGGTGATGAATTACTTGAAAGGCCATGCGTTTCCGACACTGCGCTACTGTATACAGGTCCTCTCACACTGTAATTCGACACTGTATTGATTACACTCGGTCCTTGCACTGTATATCAAGTGGCCTAATGTAACAGAGTATTGATACACCTCGAGGCACTTTATGCAGTGATAGGTACAGGGCAATTCTTTTACAGCCTGCGCGATCAGCAGTTCCTGAGTATCTTGCCACATAGAAATCTAATTAACTACATCTCTCCTATGTGTATGTCAAAGAGATGGGCCCAATCCAGCAAAGAGGACATCCCCATTGCTACGCAAAGTTATGTACAAAGAGACATCCCAATGGAGGACCAGCAGATCCACAAAGTAGAGACGATACACGTTTCTCTTTTAACTGGAAAGGAATTTCCTCTTTGCTGAATTGGTGATGTCCTCTCTCATTTAAGTTGGGCTGGCTCTTTAGATGCTGCCCCTTGATTGGGATGTCATTTGCTGGACCCAACTTATAGCATTCAAGAGAGTCAGCAAAGAGACCCTGTCCAGCGAGGAGACATCCCGTCAGTCCAGCAAATCGAGACAATGAACGCCCGTCCAGCAAAGAGCACAGCCCGTCCAGGCAAAGAGAGACAGCCCGTCCAGCAAAGAATTATTTCAGCCCGTCCAGCAAAGAATACAAGCCCGTCCTAGCAGCCCGTCCAGACAAAGAAACCTGCCAGTCCAGCAAGAGACTGCCCGTCCAGCAAAGAAAACTGCCCGTCCAGCAGAGAAGGAGTGATCAAGCCGGTCCAGCAAAAGCAGACAAGTCCGTCCAGCAAAGAGACAGCCCGTCCAGCACAGAGACAGCAAGACATCCAGCAGCACAGAGACAGCCCCATCCAGCACAGAGACAGCCCATCCAGCACGAGAGACAGCCCGTCCAGCACAGAGACAGCCCGTCCAGCAAAGTGACAGCCAATCCACTACCGCTACAGGCCTGTCCACAGTGGTGCCCACCAGTGAAGCGAGAGAGGCCACCCGTTGTCCCTTCAGTGCAGCTGTGTGCAGCGGCCAACCCTGTGTAGGATGTTCCAGGCCGTGGTTGCCGCTTATTTCCTGCTGTGTGGCCAGTCATTAGCAGGCCACAAATGCCCAGTGTTCCCTTTGGCCAGTCCAGGCCTACCCTTGTCTTCTGCCCTGTCAGCAGTGACTCCTGTCCTCTGCCCTACCAGTTATGACCCCTGTCCTCTGCCCTGCTGACCTTGTCCTCAGTTCTGCTGTCCCCTATCCTTAGCTCTGATGACCTCTGTGCTCTGCTCTGATGACCCATGTACACTGCCCTGCTGACCCTTGTCTCCCTCAAGCTGTTCGCCTGTGTTACCAAATCTAACCTGGACTTCACTGTGAGGTACGCTGTTTATGAGGATTATTTCAAGTAGCTGTTAGTGTTCTGAACTGTTCTAATGAAACAGTGATTATCCGCTAGACTCTCTGGTATAGAGTCTTATTGAGATTATGCTATGCAGCTACATGTGACCTTGACTGAGCTACAGACATTGCCAAGAAGAGTCCATGTTTGTGTAGCTTTCACTTTCTATTATTTTGCACTGTACACATGCTCTGTGCCATTATGATCCCGTTATGCACTATTGATTCCAGCATGATTTATTTATTACAGGTATTTATTAAGTGCCAACAATTTTGCATGTTTAAATTTATATATTGTACATTCACATCACTCCCTGCCCTCAAGGAGCTTACAATCTAAGGTCCCTAACTCACATTCATGCATACACATTCGACAAGGGCCAGTTTAGACAGGAGCCAGTTAACCTACCAGCATGTTTTTGGAGTGTAGGAGGCAACTGGAGTACTCAAAGGAAACCCATACAGGCACAGGGGGAACATATATACTCCAGGCAGATAATGCTGTGGTTTGGATTCCAACCAACGGCCCTTTTGCTGCATTGCACCTGTTTGGTACTGTATATTGCAGGTAACAGTTACTCTCTGTCTGATCATTCTAATTATTATCTATTCTATTAAAGCTATTAGATACCAAATGGAAGGGTTATAACTTTTGTGCTTTTTTATTGCTGTCTGTGTCCCTGATGGGTGGATCCTAGTTACAACTGTCACTGAGACAGAAATTGATGGGAAATCCAAAATGTGGAGGTTGAGGGGGATGAAAACACTTGAGCTGGTAAAAAAAAACTGTCTAAGAAGGGAATTCCTTATAATTTTTTTTTCCATTTCCTTTTGTGTTTCCAGGATATGAAGTGAAAGAAAATCTCCCTAATGGGATACAGGCAGTGAAAAAACAAAACTGACAGGGGTTAAAAACTTCAAAAACTATAACATTTTGGCTATATAAAAACTTCCAAGGATAATTCACAAAAAATGAAATGGTAAACTAACTCCAAATATCCTGGGCACCCCTCCAGACCCCTCTGCACTTGTGATGCCTCATACTGTCGGTGTAGCAGTCAGTAAACTGTACACTATGCTACACAGCCCCAGAATGAGTATCCATCATAATAGTAAGCACTTATTGGGGTCAGCGCAGCCACATGATGGTACTGACCAATGAATTGTGCATCTGAAGCTTCTTCTTCCAGTAATGTGTCCCAGAAGAAAGAAGGGCTTCTCATTGATCAGTGCTGTCACATAGTCACACTGACCAATGAGGCACACTTGCTATTGCGAACATTATGAGGGATACTCACTCTGGGGCTGTGTATTACAGTGTATGGTGTATGGACCCTTACACCAGCAATATGGAGCATCATGGCCGCTATGTGCCATAAGGTGCCAGGAC